AATTCCATCCACTGTTGATGAAAACACCCATAAAAATATCTTCTACCAAATAAAACCCATTCTCATACTGAAATGACAGAATGGGTTGAATACCTAAATGATTTATGTGCCAGTATAAAGCAGAATAGAGATTTTCAGCCTAAATGTGTTTTGAGAATGCAGTGATTGTGACAATGTGGTTTACCACAAGATTCTGAGATGTAGGTTCTGCAATTATCAATTAGCCAAATGGTTTGTTGTGTATTGACAGTTTGCTACCTCTAAGTTTCTAATACAAAAGCTAAAAAATTAGACTTTTGTTTTTAAAGATAAATGTCCTGTTAAACTCAGTATGAATAGAGGGTACAATTTAATTCAATGCACAACCATGGAGTTAATGTGACTTTAATTATCAGTTACAAATTGCATTTTTCTACTTCTGTCTTCCTTTTGCATAAAACCGCAGGAAACAGGGCAGTACAGGATTCCTCTCTGAGTTCAGGAAAACCAGATAAAGGCAGCTGAGAAGCTTTCAAAAATTCATCCCTACAAGATTTAAGAGCTGTGTCAGAGTTCCAAAACCAAAATGAAAGTCATGCTACTTCAGTGAATCTGATGTTTGACACTGCTTAGACTCTTCTTTCTTGCATCCTGCCACTGGTCCTACCAGGGAAGCTGAGAAATATTATATCAATTATTTCAAAATTCATTGTTGTCAGTTGACAAAGTTTAGGCAGTTGTTCAGTCAAGTCACAAAGTCATTTGAACAACAGCTGTAGGAAATGTGTACATGAGCCAAAATTGGAGTTTATGTATGACAATTCTGACATGAACAGTTCAAGTGGATATTGGGTAAATACATGGCAGACCAGTCTTATTTGCTGGCTATGAAGGTTGAAGAAAATCCCCTTTTAACTCCTTACTTAAGAGCTAGTCTTTAAGTCCAGCCATAGGTATACATTTTAGCTAACATTAGCATGTGGCACAAATTAATTTGCACAGCCTCAAGAGCTGACATATGGGTGCTTACCATTCACACAATCTCATCAAAACACAACAAGAGCTGAGAGTTCATTCCCACACACCTTGAAATAGAATGAGATGCTTGGATCGCATTTATTTGCAGACGCAGATAAACACACAGATGCAATCAAACAAATGCACAGCCCCCCCTCCTTTTGCCTACATTTTCCAAGTGTTCCACTTTGCAAATCAGATCCCGCTCTCAGAGTCTGGGAATGTGCAACACGGTGGTTTTGTGTCACACTTTGTGCCGCAACTTTGGGAATCACCTGGAGGTGCTCTGATGCATTTCTGTTTGTGTGGGTGTGTGTGTTGTTGTATCTGTGCGTGTATACAATGTTTGAATGCTCCAAGTAAATGAGACCACAGGGCTCATACCAGTGGGAAGTCGAGCACTCTAAGTGCTGTGACAAAATGCATGTATGCAGACACACATGTCCAACCACAAATTTACAGATGTAGGCATTCACATGCAATTTCACACACAGCTTATGACAAAATCAATATTTATCACTGAGGAAAAGGTTGACATATCACTGCATGCTGCTTGTGAGTTTTCTTAATTACTTTTAGAAACGGAGAGTTCTCCTTTCACTTAGTTCTCAGTAAAATACTTTATTTGAAGACATTCCGAATGTACCATAAAATTAGGACGCTTTTCCCTCTTTCATCATCTTGTATCGCTGCTTTGTAAGCATACTTCCAGTTTGACTAAAGTGTTGAGTGATGAGTATTTTCGGCCCACTTCATAAAAAAGAAAAGAAAAAAAAGACTTCTTTTTATGAATTCCCAAAACATTCCTGATCAAAAAAGGGGAGTGGCAAAGAGTCAGAGAAACTCGAGAAATAAAAACAAAAGCAACTTTTTGATCTTATACATTTGTTACTTAATAATGATTTAGAAATAGAAGTAGATGCAACTTTAGTAAGCTTGACATTTGTTATGAACATGTTTTCAGAAGTTGCAGGTGTACTTTAACAAGAAACCGACAGCCTGAGCTCCTACTACTCCTGTTTACAATTCGGAGTATCCTAAAGCAAAACATACCAATTCATAAATTCTCTCTGCTGTATCTGTCTAGAAAAAAATGTGGCTCACTTTTGGCAAAACATCTGTCAGAATCCCAAGGGCAGCAGCTTCTTTTATTTGTGATTCATACCTAGATATTAAGAGTATAAAATCCAAAATTGTGTTTAATCTTCTGCCCAACCGACTGTGAGAAGACTGCTGCATCAGATAGTAGGGTTTTGTGTCTCAGTGGATATCTTCTTCATTTAGAAAATTGTTGTTTGATCTATATGTAAATGCTAGTGTTGTGTGTATTGCAACTAGTTCAACATCATCTTGATCTCCCTGTCTAATAGTGGTTGCTATTATTTACAATCTCAATGACATTCAAAATCAGGTGAGTTTGTTGGTGTGGTACAGCCACAGTCTGCAAAGGCTGAAGCTTCTAACAGGAAATCTGTTCACTATGTTTTGTAGGGAGGTGTCAGGGAACTGTTATCTCCACAACCATGCCTGTCATTCATGTGTAATAATGGCCCAGTCAAAGTTTACACCTCAATTCAATTAGGAAGACTTGATAAATAGCTGTTCACAAACAGTTTCCACCTCACCTACTGACTTTGAATTATTTTGCTAGGAAAAAATGTTTGGTGTCTTGCAACCACATGTTCATATGGTTGCATATGAAAAAAGCTCTTCCAAGACTATAACCACATATTTTCACTCTACCTTAATCTCAACCAAAGCAAATCAGTGGAATATCCTAATGTTTGCACTTGTACATGTACTGAGGAGCAGGTGAGGGCTTGCAAGAGTTTGTTTTTTCAGAAATTGAGAATGTATCTTTCTTAGTGCAAACATTTCTGCCTGAGCACATAGATGCAAGAAGAGACATTTGCCAAAATATTTTCCAAAACCACCTTGCCTTTTAAGTTAAAAAAAAAAGCTCTTAAAATGAGTAGTTTGCAGTTTTTACAGTAACTTCTCATATATACAGGGAAACAAAGTCTACATTGTACTGCATTATGTTGATTATTGCACTCTTTCATGAAACTGTCAAGGAGAAAATTTAACTAAAATTCAGACCAAATTAAGTAAAATGAAAGGAGACTTTAGTATAAAAATGGGAATGAAGATTGTTGTCAGAAATGGGTCCAAAAATAACAGGTTAAAAAATGTAATTAACCAATGTCATCATACCACCCCTAGTCCACTCCAATCCCTGCCATAATGCAGAGATGTACTGGACAAAAAGAAGGAAGCAGGACAAGGGGAATAATGTGGACTGAAAAGTCTGTCGATATGGTTTTAATTGAGCAGCATTTACAGGATGACTAAATAACTCTTCACCAGGCAAAGAAAGGAAGACAAGGAACTCCTTCACTTCTTTGCGCCACTGACACATCCTTTTACTTGGCAAATGTTTAATGCCTTTGGCTACAAATGACACTGATTAGCTTCCCTGTTTTAGACAGCCAGTGTTTTCAGTTTCTGTCAAACTCCACATGCACATTATACTGTTCCCGGAGGATTCTGGATCTGCATCTGTACATCTGCATTCCTGATATCCTGTTGCATCCAATCTCATAAATCAATCAATTTGCTCATAAAAGATTTTAAAGGAATACCGGGTTAGTCCCTTTGTATTGGAAACAAGATTTTTAGTCGTTGGCTCCTGGAATTGTGTCTCCTCCTCCCTTGTCTATGCAATTGTGCTTCCATTGTCGTTCTCAATTGAAAAAGATGGATAATAATTGGCACCACTGTAGATAACCAAAGTTTTTAGCATTACTACTGCAGAGTCTGACTCACAGCAAACCCACAGACTTCCTTTTCCACTCGGAGGTGGAACGTAGTGATCTGAGCTAATTATATTGAACATTTCAAGTGCGTGATGTGCGCATGTTATGCCAATAAAAAGATATCAGCACATGCCACTTCTCAGTTTATATTGGGCATTGATCTAACAAAGCTCTCCACAGGCCAGGACCCACACACAGTGCAACATTCTTGTCTACTGCACTCAGACAAGCTGATGGCACACCTGGCAGAATACTTTTACTTTTACGCAGGGGGAATGCCACATTTGGCAGGAGTAAGTATGATTTTCCACCTTTTAAATGAATGCTGTAGTTAGGCTGGCACAAGGCAGCAGACTGGCATGACAGGGCAGGCTCCGGGAGGGGAAGGAAATGTGAGAAAGACAGGTTGGTTGATAGGGGCATGTAAATTGGGGGAGGGCAAGGTAATTTCTCTGCAGAAGCAGTGAGCCTGTCTGTCTGCTCTACCTCTGTCTCGATATACAGTCGTGCACCACACCCTGGAAGCACTTTTCTCTTTAAGGTGTCAGCAGTGAGATGAAAGCTGCAGGGCTACAATTGCTAGATAAATATGATGATGAAAACAAAAACATAAGGGGCATGTAGCAGCCAAATGTTGACAGTATCAACAAGTATAAGCAGAGTAAATGCTGCAGCTATAATATTTGAACACAGATTTTAAGCCAGCATGCAAAAAGCTCCCAAATTAATTTTCTTCTTCAATCTTCCTCAGTGTGACAACAAAGCTTGCAGCCAACCCATATTGTGTCCAGATGAGGTCCTGACTCTCAGTGGTTTTTCAGTCCTTCAGTGTGTGTCCACTGCTAGTACAGCCAAACAATTTCTCACTGCTGGAGGCTGATCAATAGTTGAAATGAAAGCTGAATTAAAATTAATTTAATAAATGTGCAAAACCGTTTCCACCCATGTTGACGGGTGTTCACTGTGTGTGTTTAGTCCCGCTCCACACAATAAGTCATGCAGACACCAAACTGTAAAAAGCAAAGCTGTCAAACACACGCCAACACTGATCACTGACACAAGGATGGTTTGCACTCTGTAATATGAATAGCAAGCTTCCCTAAGTTAAATTCAAAAGAAAGATCACAAATTTGGCCTCAGATTCCCATGCACATACAAGCAGAAAGAAAATCTGTCAAAAGTTGTTACCCTTTGCTTGTGTAGCAAGGTGATTTCTTCAAACTCCAGCACATCAGGTGTGTGGCAGTCACTCCTCTCCTTCCTCTGTCTCCCTTCCTCTCACTCACTTCTCAACCTGTAGCTATCGTGTGGCACTAGTAGCACTCAGCTGCAGTGTGTAGAGAACTAAGACAGTGGGGAAAAAGGAGGAGAGATGGGAGGGATAGAAGGACAAATGAGTCCTGCCCAGACTGATGATAGAGGCTTCCAAAAAAACGCCCTCAAGAGAGAAAAGATTAGAACACTTCACTATGCTTGAAATTCAACTTTCTCATCACTTTGCTCTTTCCACTCGCTTCTTTTACCAGCTTCATTTCTCTTCTGTTCCTTTGTCCCAGTAAGTTTTCCTAAAACCAATTTTGCCCTCCTGATGTTCTGCCAATCCATAAACCACAATGTCTGCCTGCCTTCTTGTCTGCCTCTATAACTCAAAAAGTCTCTCACTCTCTCTCTCTCCCTGTCTCTCTTGTTTTCATCTAAATTTACCTTAATTTCCACACTTTTTCCAACCGGCTTTCCATTTTGCACTTGCATACTATGCTCACACTACACATCTTTCTGTCCAAATTACATATCAATGCTCTCATATCCCATTGTGCAGATGTGTGACAAAAAACCCACCTGCTGCAAGTAACAGGAAATTAGAACTATTAACTTAACAGTGCTGACACTAAATTACACCTAACATTATGTGTGGTGTTCCACAAGGACTTGTGTTCAGTCCAAAATATTTTAGATAAATGATAAAAGTAGTGTATCACATAAACTATAATTCACTTTATTTTAGGATGATATTACAGTATGGTTCATAGAAAAAAATTGGGATCAGCATTTAAGTGCATTTACAAAGGAAACTGTCACATTTTGAGGAAATAGCATGACATAAACAAATCAGTCAGATATTGTAGCAAAAGACAATTGTTTGGTGGACACCAAACACTGCATATCACCCCAAACTCACTATCTCCACTGTTAGGCATGATGGTGGCAGTATCATGCTGTGGGGACTGATCTGAGGAGCAGGTCCTGGAAGGTTTGTGAAGATAAAAGATCAAATGAATGTAACAAAAGATGGGAAAATCCTGTAGAACCATTTGTTTCCATCTGCTGTAGTTGGAAACAGAAGTGAGTAAAATAAAGTCAAATTTTGTTGATCATAATTTCTTTGTCAAAATAAATTTAGATTTAAAATATTTAAGAGGGTATTTAGCTTTAATAGGCACAATTGTTCTACCTTCTTTTTCTCTATAATTGTTCTATTACTCAAACCTATTTGTTTACATTCCTTATAGGTTATTGCTAATCAATCAAATCTTACCATCTACAAGAAGAGGAAAAATGGCAGTGTGATGCACACAAGTACAGCATTAACTTTACATTTTAATATCCTTGACAGTTTATTTCCAGAATGGCAGAAATTCAGCTTGTTTGTTGGGAGGAAAGTTTATGTGTTAAAGCCAAACATACTCTAACATATGAACATATGTTTCAAATTGGACCCCGACCTTGTTGAAGTGAACAAAATGTGAGCAAAAGTAGAAAAAGTCATATAAATCTGTGTTTTAATTGTTCCTTGAAAAAACATCTGCCACTTGACACAACTTTGTAATACTTAATCGGAATGAAAGCTTTGGAGAAAAACAGAGACAGGAAAAGCAGGTTTCCAGTCCAGCTGTTTACTCATTTCCAACTTGATGTAGAGATAAACCAGAACACGTCTGACGTCTTATAGATCGTGTTAACTCACATCAGGTGTTTTAAGATATCATAGCACTGAGCAGGTTAAAATTCTGGGTCCACAAGAACAACAAGACAATCATCTTGACCAGCTTCATCAGCGTACGAAGGATATTTCCATAATCACAATCAGCCACACCTTCTCTGTTCTTATCTTTGTTCTCATGCACTTTCCCTCTCCAGACGGAGATAACTGGTGTATGATTGCTTGTCTCATTCTCCCCCATGTTCCCAGGGAGCAGTACTAGAATCAAAGTTGAGTGGATGAGAGCAGAAAGTGATTCAGTGCTCAAATGATGAGAAAAATCTTGTTTACAGCAATGGAGGCCTTGACCTATGAGTCACTGTAGTCTTTGAGAATTCCACTAAGCTCTTCCTCTTTGCTTTCTATTCCTGTCTTTCGTTATTCCTGCTAGTTTAGTTAAAAATATCTCCTCTAGTTAAAAACAAAACAAAACAAAAGTATTTCTGCTGTTGTAAACTTAATTGTATTAGGACTGTTCTATGACTGTGTGTGTTAGTCTGTGTGTATGGTGACACTTGAAGTGACAAAGTGTTTGACACTTCTCAACCTAAAAGGCTGTCTTCTGCTAAAAATATATTCAGTGACATTTCTTTTATGGTTTTTAGTTGAATCCAAAAGCCTATGAGTTGAATCTCACCTAAAACCTCGGCAGATGGAAGGAAGGAACATTTCTCAAATATGGTGTTTTGAGAACCAAGTTGATCAGTCATTTGCTGGTGTAATACCATTGTAATTTCTCAAATCTTTTTTTATAATCTTTAAAGGCCATAATAAAGGTTATTATGGCTGCGTTATTATAGGAATGAAGCATGATGGCATCCCCACAGTTGCTAAAAAGCATTTTCCAACACAATTAGCTTCAGATGAAACCATTCATACAGCAGTTGCCGGTGTGTCACACTCTGAACTACAAATTGTGCGGTAACTCATAAAATAGATTATCCAAAATGATTAAATTAAGTATTTAGTGCAAAGCAATATCTGATGTTTTCCTCAGTTTTCAAAGCAACAGCCCAAAACCTCACTACAGTTTAGTGCAGGGGTGTCAAACTCCAGTCCTGGAGGGCCGGTGTCCTGCAACCTTTAGACGAGCCTCTGCTGCACCACACCTGAATAGAATAATAGGTCATTAGCAAGGCTCTGGAGACCACGGAGGAGGTAATTAAGCCATTTCATTCCAGTGTTTTGTACCTGTGGCACATCTAAAAACTGCAGGACAGCGGCTCTTGAGGACTGGATGTAGACACACCTGGTTTAGTGGAACTTTGTGTGACAGATTCAGTGGGATTTGTAATTTCATTCTATAAAGGTATGTACTTTTAGAATGAAAGTACATAACTATAAAGGTATGTACTTTTAGAATGAAAGTACATAACTATAAAGGTATGTACTTTTAGAATGAAAGTACATAACTATAAAGGTATGTACTTTTCAGAGGTTTGAGAATGTAGAGGTAGAGTATAGTATTTACTAGTGTTCAAATGGGTAACACTAGTGCTGCATTTACTTATACCTGCACATCTGATATTTCTTTTGCATTTCTTTTCTCTTCCTTCAGTCAATACTTTCTAGAAGTATGTTTCACTTTCATTTATAGCTCCTGTATTTTAGGGTATTCATTTACCATACTTGTAAAGGCCGAAATTTGTTCTCAATCTTGCCACAGATTCTCAACTAATTTTAGGTCTGAACTTTGACTGGGCCTTTTTACAACTTGAGTAAGCTTTGATCTAAAATATTCAATTTAAGCTCTGTTTAGGCTGGTTGGTCTGATGGAAAGTGAGTATACTGATAACAAAAGCTGCAGAACAAGGGGAGACTCAGACCAGAATCACATCCTTTTTATAATGTTTTTAATACGACTTAATATAATGCTGATTGCATACTAAAAAGTAGAATGACTTGGCATTGAGCAAAACGCATCATACTCGAAGGTCACCAAAGCTCGATACTGCCACCACCATGCTTCACAATCAGATGTTCAGGTATAAGTAAATGCAGCACATGATGATCTATGAGCTACATAACATCCCTCATCCCTCCCGTCTTGGTCCAGTGGCAGAGAGCAAGTGCATAGAGCAGAGAGTGGAGAATATCTTATGAAATAGAGCTGAATAATAAGAGGAAACGTGAACAGAACCTGTTCACGTATGAGCAATAAAAGCAAAGCCACAAAGGTTTTTATGAAAGAAGTGGTGTTATGCATTTCAGAGGCACATTGTGGCATTTTATAGAATAATCAAGAAATTATTTCAGCACAACCCACAGTTGCTTCTTAAAACTGAGATATTGGGATTTTGAAAACATGAGGTCCTCAAAGTATTCCTAGAGCATTTTGTATTGTGTGGCAAAGTGCATCTTTAGGTTTCTCCCTAAAGTAGCCCACCTACTTACATGAAAATTGATCAAAATAAAATATAAGTAGTTAGAAATAAAACTTATTTAGTTTATGTGTGTCCTTAAAATTTAGCCTAAACAAAGATGTTTGGTTACAGTGTTTACAACCATCTTTCTACCACATTTATGCATTAATAGACATGTGGACATCTTTTCTGTTTTCAATTTATAGTAACAGTTCTTATTGTTTAGACAGAACACAACATAATGTTAGAAAACATTCTCTATTCAAAGAAAATGTCTTTCAGGGGAGCTGCTGACCCTTCTCTACTGGTGTTACAGCGAGAAAGGGAAACTCATAGAAAGGGAAAATTGTAGTTTCAGGAAATCTGTCTTGTATATCAACATAATTTCTATTCTGTATAAAAGTAGGTCAGAAATTACAAATCTACACCGTCATATCCAGTAGAGCCAGGCCTGTGCCAGCTCTCAATAAATATTTACTTTATTCGGGGAATGCCAGTGTTTTGTTTTTTCACAGAAAAATGAAGTTGGCATTTTGGAAATAACTCTAGTTTCAGGAGCATGCTTTGCCAATTATACTATGTGTTTATTTCCTGCAGATTTCATAACTGATAATATATTCCCCAGACTGTTTTTGATAATGCAGTCCTCTCATTTTCAGGTTAGCTTTGCAGTGAAAGCAGCTGCTGCCAGTGTTGGAATAGTGTTTTCTTTTTTCTTGCAGGATTTTCCGCTATTAAATCAGCTCTTTCCACTATCTGCAGGGACAGGCACATGTGCTTGCTTTTGCACTACAGCTATTAGGAGAGTAATATATCTGAAAAATTAGTAGTCAAAGGATCCCCCATACTGGTTTGATTTTCCCGAAAGAGTAGTCAAAGAAGAGGTGCACAACTTTTTTTTTTTCTCTGAGATTACTTAAATTACCGTAGTTTTTTTTTTTTT